AACCCGAGTCCATCGACAGCCGATCCTGCCATCCCTGTTGTAGATGGAGACATGCTCAAAACACCACCATCTTCTCCCGATGCCAACAAACGCCTCTTCCTGGAGCAGAAGTGTAAGACTGTGCCCGAAGTCCAACGTAGCACATTGTCACATCAACCCGTTGGTGACACGCCAACGCCTTGCCCGCCCCCAACAGCACCAGAAACAACACATCCCTTGTCTCCAACCAAAATCAAAACTCAACTTCCATTAGCGACTGTCAAGCCAAGGATAAGTACCGCACCTTCACCACCGCCAAAGATCTGCTTTCCTTGTGAGGTGAAATCTGAGACGAGCAGCAAGTTGGCGCCAAGAAGTGTGTCTCCCACAGCTGGTAAATCTCGGCATTCCATTTCATCTATGCATTCCCTAGAATCCATACCAGAAAATGACAGCGAAGGGCAAACATCTGCGACTGACACATTGGAGAAAAATCGCAAAACGAAAGCTTATTTAGGTTCCAAAGCTACACATCCATTGCCAGTAGCAAAGGAGAATAAGGAGTCTGTAATCAATGGGACGGCAGCAAGACTTTCAGTCAAAGACGTCTCACTAGATGGACAATCTCATTGTGTGTCGCATAAGAGGTCGTCTTCCCTAACACCTGTTAACGAAGAAAGATCTGTCCAGAGTTCATCAACAATCGGTGAACCAAAGTTACTTTCTCAAGACGTAAAAGCCAGCGAACTCCCTCAGTCTATCCTACACAATAATGGCCCAGTTGGTGATACTGTAGCAAAAACAGAGAAATACATACTGGAAAATATTAAAAGTAAACCTATTTCAAGTCAAAATAAGAAGGAAGATAAGTGCGAAAGACACAGGGAAGATGTCCAAACAGGAAGAGTACACAGCTCTCGGCTCGCATCTAGAGGCAGCGGAAGTGAAGCAACATCGCGCACGCACTCACCCAAAGTGTCTCCAGAGGGCACTATCCCTCCCCAAATGAAAGTGTCTGAAGCAAATAAGGAGACCGCCTTGGCAACTTCCTTCCTCATCAGCCAACCAGTTGTTGCATCCCTGGCAATCGTTAAGGAATCTGGGAAAATGAAAGTTAATGTAAATAGAGAAAACAAAGTGAATAATGAAGATATTGAGATAAATGATCCAGAACAATCCAGCAAGAGTCAAAAGCCCTCAAAAGGTATTGGAGCTTCAACGGCAACTCATGTGGTATTTCGAATTCCACTGCATAATACCACTTTAACAAATGGTAAAGACAAAGAGGGAAGAGTCTCCGTTGAGATTCTTTCAGGGCAAGACAGGGATTCCATCAGAAAAACAAAGGAGCATCGTAAGGAAAGACCAAGATCATTGTCAACATCTAGAGAACTTAGGAGGGAAAGAACCTCTGAAACACTCCCAAGACGAAGATTGGCTTCGGAAGGATCGGAGTGCGGCGGCGACTACATTATGGATGGTGATCGCCCAGAAGCAACGACAGACTTGCGGGAAAGAGTTCGTCGCCGGTCGTCTTCATCCATCCGACGCCAACGAACTCGAGAAGCAAAGAACTGTGAGGGGGATGAAGCCAGCAGCAGCACCTCCGTCAGTAATGATCAGCTCCAGGACGGTGATGAAGTAGTTGTTCCCTGGCGCAGGAGTACTCGAAGTAGGACGCGTGCATCGATAAATTCAGCCCTCAGTGGAAGCGTCGATGGTGTCACCAATCCAAATTCCGCTAGTACCGAAGATCATGTCAAAGGTTCACCAGCCCGCCACAGGACGAGATCAGCTAGTATCGGCAGGAAAGCTGGTGAAACTCAGGAAAATGATATTGGTGAAAATAATTTGTCTGCCACAAAATATAATGCAATTGCTCCACCGCGCCAAAGATCCAAGTCCAGAGGCTCTGAGCGCCGGATGACCAGGTCGGCGACGCTATCTGAAATTAAACGTTCCTCTGACGTCGAGACTAAAACAATATCGCCGGATTCTGAACCCAGACGTCGAGCTCTGTCATCGTCTCGAGTTGGCGACTCTTTGAGAGAAATGGAAGTCGCAAATACATGTGGAACAGGAAGCCCAGTATACGATGAAGAGGTCGCTGGTGTCCAGAAACCAGTACGGAGGAGGAGGTCCTTGTCTAGGACCAGGAGAACCTCACAGACGGAAGGAAGCGAGGATCTAAGATCTGAAAGTGTGAGATCAAGACCGAGTGGGAAAGGTGTGGCTATACACAAGATGGTGGCATGTAGAAAAGAAGAAAGTGAAGTTCTTGGACAACAATATTGCCAGCTGACTGACACCCAAAACGAGAGAAAAGGAAACACCGATATAACGAAAAAGGAATTGAGGATAAGCGAAATCGACAATATAAAAGTGACCGAAGCCACTACCAATGACAGCAACATTGGAGGTGGCCAAGACACGGCCGCCAGCAGCAACGGTCCTGCCAGGCTGCGTAGCCCCAGCTCCCAAGACGACGCCGCCGCCACGACTGACGCCGAACATGTTGACAGCGACAGGAAACCCAGAGGCACTAGGGAGGTGGAGAGCAGCTCAGTACAGACACAGGTGATCCTGACTCTCTCCAAGGTGTGCCAGACGGACGTTGAGGCCGACACGACGCAACTCTTGCAGGACGCCCTCGACAACACCAGGTAGGTCCTTGACGCACGCGTCTCTCAAGTCCGCGGGAGACATTTTGATATACAGACTTCAAGTAGTTGGTAGTAGTTTGTAGTTTAAGCATCAGTCAACAGCAAGAGTGCAGAGTTTGCAGCAGCAGCAGCAGCGGCTACCGGAGGGTATCAGCAGCAGTAACGACAGTATCAGAACCTACTGGTCCACGAGGAGCAGACGTACCAACAGTAGTAGTTGCAATAGCAGTAGTTGTAAACAAAGCGGAATCCAATTATTTGTTTATTTTTTTATTTTTTTGAGATATATACAAGAGTTGTTACATTCTTGTAGAGCCACTAGTACGCGTAGCGTTTCGGGCAGGTCCCTGGAATACGATCCCCGCCGCGAAGAATTGTTGTTACAACCAAGTACACATTTTACTGTTGAGTTAAACAGAGGCTACAGTTAAGGATTTGCACCCAGTAAATCCTCCCCGGCCAGGATACGAACCCATGACAAAGCGCTCGCGGAACGCCAGGCGAGTGTCTTACCACTACACCACGGAGACTGGTGACCTTGGTGCAGTGGAAATCGTATTTTAAAAGGAAATGACAATTGTGGGTAGGAGAAAATGGGAAACTGTCTTCATGGTTCCGGCAACCAGGAGGCCTGGTCGACGACCGGGCCGCGGGGACGCTAAGCCCCGGAAGCACCTCAAGGTAACCTCAAGGTATGGGTGGCTTAGTATTCTCTTTATGTCGAGGTGTGTGTGGATGTGTGTATTCACCTAGTTGTGCTTGCAGGGGGGGATGGGGGAGCTCTGCTCTTTCGGCCCGCCTCTCAACTGTCATTCAATCAACGATATTCCCCCCCCCCCCACACACACACACACACACACTAAGGGACCCGGTGACCGAGCGGACAGCACGCTGGACACGTGATCCTGTGATCCCGGGTTCGATCCCGGGCGCCGGCGAGAAACGATGGGCAGAGTTTCTTTCACCCTATGCCCCTGTTACCTAGCAGTAAATAGGTACCTGGGAGTTAGTCAGCTGTCACGGGCTGCTTCATGGGGGTGTATGTGTGTGTGTGGTGGGGAAAAAAAATAGTAGTAGTAGAAACAGATGATTGACAGTTGAGAGGCGGTCCGAAAGAGCAGAGCTCAACCCCCGCAAGCAAAACTAGGTGAATACAACTAGGTGAATACACACACACACCCACACAGGAAGCAGCCCGTAGCAGCTGTCTAACTCCCAGGTACCTATTTACTGCTAGGCAACAGGCGCATCAGGGTGAAAACAAAACTCTGAACCCTGGTCCCCAGGATTATGAGTCCTGAGTGCTGTCCACTTAGCCACCAGGCACCCTGAGATCTGATGTGTGTATGTGTGTATGTATGTATGTATGTATGTATGCATGCATGCATGCGTGTGCATGTATAATGTTTATTTCCTTATCCACATAAATCCCTATTGAATGTTTTACAGCACCAACTTGCTTATAATAGTGTCTATAATGAGCTCTTGATCCAACATGATAATACCTTTCTGAACAATAACTGACCACCCCATCTAATAGATATTATTCACCTCGTGGTGTATAACAGTGTATACATTATATTCCCTATGTATAGCGGGGTCTTACTGGTGTATGTGTACTGATTATTATCAAGTATATCATGTATAAAGGGAGCTTCGGCTTTAGGTGATCTTGTTTTGAGATTGTCTTAGGTTATAAATATTGCAAATGATAATAAAGGGATCTAAGATCATTAAGTCAATGTTATTTGACCGATTGTGTGTCACGATTTGTTAAGGGTCCTGGACGGACAGAAACGTCGTCACATAAGGGTCCAGGACGGACAGAAACGTCGTCACATAAGGGTCCAAGACGGACAGAAACGTCGTCACATAAGGGTCCAGGACGGACAGAAACGTCGTCACATAAGGGTCCAGGACGGACAGAAACGTCGTCACATAAGCGTCCTGGACGGACAGAAACGTCGTCACATAAGGGGTCCAGGACGGACAGAAACGTCGTCACATAAGCGTCCAGGACGGACAGAAACGTCGTCACATAAGGGGTCCAGGACGGACAGAAACGTCGTCACATAAGCGTCCTGGACGGACAGAAACGTCGTCAATCACCCGTCATATATGTGGGGTTGAATTGCTTGTTCCACCCACGTTACCGTGACAGTCTCTTCAGGGCTTATTACCTATGGTTTCATAGGCCTCTATTTTTTCTCAAATCCACAGGGCTCAATAGGCCTAAGAGGCCTACAAGAACCACCCACAACAGCTACCTTTCCTGTACCATTCACAATTTGCTTAGGTCTTAGACTTGCTCTCTAAGGAAAGAATATATCAACAACATTTCCTCTTTTTTCCTTTCAGGAATGAGCTGGCGGCGCAGGAGGAGCGGTACCAGAAGCAGGTGGACGGACTCACCATCACCCTGGCGGAGAAGCAGCAGGAGGTGGCCGCCCTCACTAGTACCATAGAGAGCCTCAAGGCCGCCCAAGAGACACCTCACGACTCTGAAGAGCTGCGGGAGAAACTGGCTCTCCTCCAGCAAGATGTTCGGGATAGAGCAGCCCATGTCGACTGTAAGTGTTCTGTCCGGTGGTGTTGGGGGGTTTAGTTGTGTCCGGTGGTGTTGGGGGGTGTTAGTTGTGTCCGGTGGTGTTGGGGGTGTTAGTTGTGTCCGGTGGTGTTGGGGGGGTGTTATGATGTTCTGTCCAGTGTTAATAATATGGCTGACGTTCTGTCCAGTGTTGGTGCACAACCCACTCTCGCACAAAACAGCACATATATGACTTATTGATTATAGTCACTATTCCGCTTATGAATAAGTACATATGTGACATTCCAAGCCATATTTTTTTTTCAAGGCACTAACTTTTCCTCTCAGTTTTATTAAACAATAAATATTTTATACAAAATTTGACAATATCCTCAGTTACTTTACAATTATTTTTTTAAATTTTAGTTTTGTGTTATTTATTTTTATAAAACTGTAATATCAATATAGGTCAGTACTAATTGTAATATCTTAACATACTAAGAAGGTTAGGTTAGGTTGTGGTTTTCTATTCAGCTTTTCAAGGGGGTCAAATATTCTCAATAAATTAGTATGTCACATATGCACTTATTCATAAGCAAGATATTGACTAAAGCAGGTGCGAGAACAAGTTGTGGTGCAGACGCTCAGATGAAAAAGCTAATCTGAGGAACAAAAAACTTTCCCTATGAAAAAAAAACTAAAAAAAAAAGATTACATTATATTTTCTACCAAAAGGAAGAATTGCAGATGGAAGGAGAGAAGTGTCGTACGTGGCTTAGTTAAGAAGTTGTAACGAGAGAGAGAGACAACCCAGCCCAGCCGCCCAAGGGAGCCGGTCGGCCGAGCGGACAGCACGCTGGACTTGTGATCCTGTGGTCCCGGGGTCGATCCCGGGCGCCGGCGAGAAACAATGGGCAGAGTTTCTTTCACCCTGAATGCCCCTGTTACCTAGCAGTAAAATAGGTACTTGGGAGTTAGTCAGCTGTCACGGGCTGCTTCCTGGGGGTGGAGGCCTGGACGAGGACCGGGCCGCGGGGACACTAAAAAGCCTCGAAATCATCTCAAGATAACCTCAAGATCCCAAATACAGCAAGCCCCACGCGCCTCAGAACACAGGACACAAACAACGTTTCGGTCCGTCCGAAACGTTGATTATTATCAATAAACCAACAACACATTTAGTGGTAAAGTGGCTCCTGCTGCGCCTGCTGCGCCTGCTGCGCCTGCTGCGCCTGCTGCTGCTGCTGTGCCTGCTGCTGCTGCTGCTGCTGCTGCTGTGCCTGCTGCTGCTGCTGCTGCTGCTGCTGCTGTGCCTGCTGCTGCTGCTGCTGCTGCTGCTGCTCCTGCTGCTGTGCCTGCTGCTGCTGCTGCTGCTGCTGCTGCTGCTGCTGTGCCTGCTGCTGCTGCTGCTGCTGCTTGTGCTCGAGCTGCAGCCTGCACCTGCAGACAGGCGACTTATGGAGCAGAGTCGCAGCCTCCAGGCACCCCTCACGACGCCTTGAAGACGTCTGCATGCGTCACATAGACGCACGTGTAATAGATTACACACGCAATAGATTGCTGTAAATATATGTCATTTATACGCCAGGTCTGAAAATGCATGGCTTGAAAATGCGCCATGCACTACCCCCCCCCCCCGGGGCCTATCCAGCCCCCCTTCCCCTGTGCCCCCAGGCCCCCCCCCACCGTGCCCTTGGGGGGGACCCCCTTGTGCCCTTGGGGGCCCCCCCAGCACACAACACCTCGCGCGGCACGGAAATTGCGCCACCACAGTCTGGGGAAATAGCGTCATTGGCTGGCTATACTTCACCCGTGATGACGTCAGTCCTGGAGGCTGGTACACGTTAGTGGTAGTGGTGGGTGGTAGTGGGTGGTGGGTGGTAGTGGGTGGTGGTAGTGGTGGGTGGGATATGAGGACAAGGAGCTTACATGACAGAAAAATGGGCTCCCGGGAGTCAGGGAACTGTTGTGGGCTGCCTCCTGTGGACGGTCAGTAGTGGACCCACGAAGAACCTCGATGTAGGCCTAAGTGAAGGCTTCCTGTCCCCGACCACACCGGGAAGGTCTTAACCAGTTCCTTCTAAACACTTAAGATAGTTACCGCCATAAAATGATTCATAGAAAACGGGTGGTGAGATAAACTACGTCACGGGGTGGGTGGCACTCCCAGGCAGGGGAGGGTGGCACTCCCAGGCAGAGGTGGGTGGCACTCCCAGGCAGGGGAGGGTGGCACTCCCAGGCAGGGGAGGGTGGCACTCCCAGGCAGGGGTGGGTGGCACTCCCAAGCAGGGGAGGGTGGCACTCCCAGGCAGGGGAGGGTGGCACTCCCAGGCAGGGGTGGGTGGCACTCCCAGGCAGGGGTGGTGGCACTCCCAGGCAGGGGTGGGTGGCACTCCCAGGCAGGGGAGGGTGGCACTCCCAGGCAGGGGTGGGTGGCACTCCCAGGCAGGGGAGGGTGGCACTCCCAGGCAGGGGTGGGTGGCACTTCCAGGCAGGGATGGGTGGCACTCCCAGGCAGGGGTGGGTGGCACTCTCAGGCAGGGGTGGGTGGCACTCTCAGGCAGGGGTGGGTGGCACTCCCAGGCAGGGGTGGGTGGCACTCCCAGGCAGGGGAGGGAAGACAGGGTAGAGTGCCAGGTGCCTCAGTATAACAGCCTCGCCCAGGCTGAGTGCCACCCTCTCTAGTACGGATCTTCCTCGCTGCTCCTGTCCTCAGTGTAGCCTACACCCCCCTCAGTGTTCCCTACACCCCCACCCTCAGTGTTCCCTACACCCCCCCACCCCCACCCTCAGTGTTCCCTACACCCCCCCACCCCCACCCTCAGTGTTCCCTACACCCCCCCACCCCCACCCTCAGTGTTCCCTACACCCCCCACCCCCACCCTCAGTGTTCCCTACACCCCCCACCCTCAGTGTTCCCTACACCCCCCCACCCCCACCCTCAGTGTTCCCTACACCCCCACCCTCAGTGTTCCCTACACCCCCACCCTCAGTGTTCCCTACACCCCCCCACCCCCACCCTCGGTGTTCCCTACACCCCCACCCTCAGTGTTCCCTACACCCCCACCCTCAGTGTTCCCTACACCCCCCACCCCCCTCAGTGTTCCCTACACCCCCCTCCCTCAGTGTTCCCTTCACCACAACCCTCAGTGTTCCCTACACCCCCCACCCCCAGTGTTCCCTACACCCCCCCACCCTCAGTGTTCCCTACACCCCCACCCTCAGTGTTCCCTACACCCCCACCCTCAGTGTTCCCTACACCACCACCCTCAGTGTTCCCTACACCCCCACCCTCAGTGTTCCCTACACCCCCACCCACCCTCAGTGTTCCCTACACCCCCACCCTCAGTGTTCCCTACACCCACCCCCACCCTCAGTGTTCTCTACACCCCTCCACCCTCAGTGTTCCCTACACCCCCCCCACCCTCAGTGTTCCCTACACCCCCACCCTCAGTGTTCCCTACACCCCCACCCACCCTCAGTGTTCCCTACACCACCACCCTCAGTGTTCACTACACCCCCACACCCTCAGTGTTCCCTACACCCCCCCCACCCTCAGTGTTCCCTACACCCCCCCACCCTCAGTGTTCCCTACACCCCCACCCTCAGTGTTCCCTACACCCCCCCCCCCCCTCAGTGTTCCCAACACCCCCACCCTCAGTGTTCCCTACACCCCCCCACCCTCAGTGTTCCTTACACCCCCCCACCCCCCCACCCTCAGTGTTCCCTACACCCCCCCACCCCCACCCTCAGTGTTCCCTACACCCCCCCACCCCCACCCTCAGTGTTCCCTACACCCCCCACCCCCACCCTCAGTGTTCCCTACACCCCCCACCCCCACCCTCAGTGTTCCCTACACCCCCACCCTCAGTGTTCCCTACACCCCCACCCCCAGTGTTCCCTACACCCCCACCCTCAGTGTTCCCTACACCCCCCACCCCCAGTGTTCCCTACACCCCCCCACCCTCAGTGTTCCCTACACCCCCCCACCCTCAGTGTTCCCTACACCCCCACCCTCAGTGTTCCCTACACCACCACCCTCAGTGTTCCCTACACCCCCACCCTCAGTGTTCCCTACACCCCCCACCCCCCTCAGTGTTCCCTACACCCCCCACCCCCAGTGTTCCCTACACCCCCCCACCCTCAGTGTTCCCTACACCCCCACCCTCAGTGTTCCCTACACCCCCACCCTCAGTGTTCCCTACACCACCACCCTCAGTGTTCCCTACACCCCCACCCTCAGTGTTCCCTACACCCCCACCCACCCTCAGTGTTCCCTACACCCCCACCCTCAGTGTTCCCTACACCCACCCCCCCTACCCTCAGTGTTCTCTACACCCCTCCACCCTCAGTGTTCCCTACACCCCCCCCCCTCCCTCAGTGTTCCCTACACCCCCACCCTCAGTGTTCCCTACACCCCCACCCTCAGTGTTCCCTACACCACCACCCTCAGTGTTCACTACACCCCCACACCCTCAGTGTTCCCTACACCCCCCCACCCTCAGTGTTCCCTACACCCCCCCACCCTCAGTGTTCCCTACACCCCCACCCTCAGTGTTCCCTACACCCCCCCCCACCCTCAGTGTTCCCTACACCCCCACCCTCAGTGTTCCCTACACCCCCCCACCCTCAGTGTTCCCTACACCCCTCCACCCTCAGTGTTCCCTACACCCCCACCCTCAGTGTTCCCTCAGTGTTCCCTACGCCCCCCCCACCCTCAGTGTTCCCTACACCCCAGTGTTCCCTTCCCTACACCCCCACCCTCAGTGTTCCCTACACCCCCCCACCCTCAGTGTTCCCTACCCCCACCCACCCTCAGTGTTCCCTACACCCCCACCCACCCTCAGTGTTCCCCCCCCCACCCTCAGTGTTCCCTCAGTGTTCCCTACACCCCCACCCTCAGTGTTCCCTCACACCCCCCCACACCCTCAGTGTTCCCTACACCCCCCCCCACCCTCAGTGTTCCCTACACCCCCCTACCCTCAGTGTTCCCTACACCCCCACAGTGTTCCCTACACCCCCCCACCCTCAGTGTTCCCTCAG